GCCCTCCTACCTGAGCCCAACTAAGGATGACAAGAAGGCTTCTCAAGGCAGAAGTCTCCTGGGGCTGGCTCAGCTGACAGTGATCGCTGATAACTTGCTGGTTCTCTTCCAAGAAGCCGGCATTTCTCAGCAGTCTCAGATGCCGAGATGAGGCCACCCTGCTCTGACAGGGATGAGGATGCTTGCTCAGAAGCTCTAGGCAGGCAGGGGAGACTCACTGAGAGTCCAGTACAGATTCCTCCTTTGTGCGGTACTTTCTACAGGGGTGACATTGTCACTGCAACCCAAAGTCTACCCCATATACTTGGCACCCACATATACGTGCAAGGAAGAGGGAAATAAACTCTGCTGCTCCTGTGTGATTTTTTTCATCTTTCTGAGCTTTTTTTTTTTTTCCTTTGAGATGGAATGGGGAAAGTAAAGGAAGGGTTCCTTAGCCAGTTGCTGATGGCTCATATCTGTAATCCTAGCTCCTCGAGTCTGAGATCCCAAGGATTATGGTTCAAAGCTAGTTCAAGCAGGAAAGCCCATCTCCAATAAACCAGCAAAAAGCAAGACTGGAGTCATGACTCAAGTGGTAAAGCACCAGCAGAGCTAGCAAGCCAAGCAAATGCAAGTCCCTCAGTTCAAATCCAGGTACTGGCAAAATAATAAACAAACAAACAAATAAATAAATAAAGGAGGTGGCAGCTGAGTCTTGTAGATGTGATTAAGGGTCCTCTGGAGATGGGGAGATTATCCTGGATTATCCGGGTGCCTGGAATGTTGATCAGGAGGGAGGTGACAAGAAGGTCATGAGAGGAAGGGTAACAAGGGGAGCATTTGTTTTCTTGCCCTTTCTGGCTTTTGCAGGTCAACAAGGGGTCATATATCAAGAAATGCATGCATGGAAGAGAGCAAGGGAAGGGGCTAACATGGTCCAAAACAAAATGTACTCTTTACCTGACTTATGGAACTGTAACTCCTCTCTGCACATCACCTTTATGATAACAATAAAAATATTAAAAAGGAAAAGAGAAGAAGAAAGAAAGCTTGTTTCAAAAAAGAAAAGAAAAGAAAAGAAAGATGTCCATGTAGCCTCCACCAATCAAGAAACCTAAAGCCTGCGGAAGGAGCAACCCCATGTCAGCTAGCTGACCCACAGTCTGCACTCCGACTGTTAGACAGCCAGATCTTACCCATGGTGTTTAAGGCCACTGTGATAACACAGCCCCAGGAAGGCAGTCACTGGAATTTTGACCCCACATGATTGATCACCTCTGTGCACAAGGTGACTTTTCACGGTCTTATCAACCCAGGCTCCCCTCTGTCTCCATGGAGGCCCAGCTCCAGCTCTCCTCCCAGTCTCCCAGTCCCTTTTCTGCCATCCAGGAGCATTAGCACCTGCAAAATAGTCCAAAAGCATAATCAGGGCTTCTAGACCCTCTACCACTGAGCCACACACCCTTTGGCCTTTTTTTGCATTGGTCATTTTTGAGGTAGGGTCTCCCTTTAGGACCTGGCCAGCCTGGCCTGGAATGCTCTTATTTGTAATTTCCTTGTAGCTAGGGATGACAGACACATGCCACTGTACCCAGCCATTGGTTGAGATGGCATCACAATCTCTCTCTCTCTCTCTCTCTCTCTCTCCCTCTCTCGTGTGTATGTATGTTGGTACTTGGACTTGAACTCAGGGTCTGAGTTATATCCCTTAGCTTTTTCATTCAAGGCTGATACCCTACCACTTGAGCCATAGCTCCACTTTGGGCTTTTTGGTGGTCAATTAGAAATAAGAGGTCTCAGCTGGGAATGTGGTTTAGTGGTAGAGTGCTTGCCTAGCATGCATGATGCCCTGGGTTTGATTCCTCAGTACCACATAAACAGAAAAAGGTGGAAGTAGCGTGGTGGCTCAAGTGGTAGAGTGCTGGCCTTGAGCAAAAGAAGCTCAGGGACAGTGCCCAGGCCCTGTTTTCAAGCCCCAGGACTGGAAAAAAGAAGAAGAAGAAGAAGAAGAAGAAGAAGAAGAAGAAGAAGAAGAAGAAGAAGAAGAAGAAGAAGAAGAGGAGGAGGAGGAGGAGGAGGAGGAGGAGGAGGAGGAGGAGGAGGAGGAGGAGGAGGAGGAGGAGGAGGAGGAGGAGGAGGAGGAGGAGGAGGAGGAGGAGGTAGAGGAGGAGGAGGAGGAGGAGGAGGTAGAGGAGGAGGAGGAGGAGGAGGAGGAGGAGGAGGAGGAGGAGGAAGAGGAAGAGGAGGAGGAAGAAGGAAAGAAATAAGAGGTTTCATTAACTTTTCTGCCCTAAGAAATGGCTTTCAACTGTGAACCTCAGATCTCAGCCTCCTGAGTAGCTAGGATCATAGATGTTGTGTCACTGGCACCTGGCTAGGGTGGAGTCTTGAATATCTTTCTTCCCCTGGGCTGGTATTAAACCAAGATCCTCTACCTCTACCTATCAAGCAGCTAGGGTTACAGGTGTGAGCCACTGGACCCAGCTAATAAGGCTGTTTTAAACTGAGATCTGAGGATCACAGTTCAAAGCCAGCCTGGGCAGGAAAGTCCATGAGATTCTTATCTCCAATTAACCACCAGGAAACTGGAAATGGCAATGTGGCTCAGGTGGTAGAGCGTTTGCCTTGAGGTGAAGAACACAGGGACAGCGCCCAGGCCCAGAGCTCAAGCTCCACGACTGACAACACACACACACACACACACACACACACCAAGTAACAGGACACTTGGTTAACATGCTCAAGGCCCTGGGTTTCCTCCCTCAGCACCTAGGAGAAAACAACCTGCAGTTCCTTCAGTTGAGAGGCTGAGAGGCAGGAGGATTGCTTGAGCTCAGGACTTCAAGGCTAGCCTGGAAGCAATAAAGAAACCATCTCAACCCAGAACTGGGATTCTTGGCCCCATTTCCTCTCTTCTCTAGAGTGGGCCTTGAAACCCTCTTGTGGGGAGTCAGAGTCTCTGGAGAAACTTCTTCCTGATGAAATTCCTTGAATCAGGCCTACCTGTGAATTCTTCCTAGGAGAAGATTAAGGCAAGACGAGGGTGGGGGCTGGAGGACCTCTGGATGGATGAAAGGACCACTTCATCATCTATCTAATACTTTACCTAAAACTGTGACAGCAGTTATTATAGGCCAGGCCAGGTGTGGGGGGTTAAACACTTTACAACCTTATAGCACCTAATCTCCACCTCCTAGGAGATTGGATAAAAGAAATCATCCCACCCAGCCTGCAAATGAGCAAACATGGCTCCCTCAGCAAGTTTACTGTTTTGCCACAGCCACCTAGCTGGCATAAAGGTGCCAGCTTTGGAAACCAGATCTGTCCCTGTCAGAATCCAAGCTTAACACAAGCTGAACACAGCACAGTCCCTGCTGGAACCCAACATCTTTCTTGCTCTTACAAGGTCCAGGGTGACATGTGGCCGGGCCCAGTTGGAAGGGTTCAGTGGTAGGCCTTGACTTCTATCATAGGAGCTTAAGAACTTGGACAAGTGACTGAACCATTCTGCACTAGCTTCCTTATCCAGGAAGTGTGTTGAGTGCACATTACAGAGGTCTCCAGGATACATGGAGTGATGAGTAAAAAGAGGTCAGTACCTGGCACAAGGTAAGGGCACTTTACCTTGCATAATGTCTCTGTTGCACAGGAAGAACCTGAGCTTTGAGGAGTCACTCAGAGCAATCACCCTCAGAAAGGGACAAATTGAGCAGGCTTCAACATAGCTATTTGATGGGGCTTTGTGGGGGGCACAGTACAGTGGCTGAAACCTGTTCCCAAACAGGTATGCCTGGACCCAAGCTGGGGGAGTAGAAGCCTGGAAGGGGGCAGGGGTCTGTAAGTTAATGGGTTCATTCACTTCATCACTCAACATTCCTCTTTAAAATCTGTCAATGACTTCCTTCTTAGTGTACTAGGAGCCAGGCCAAATGCCCTGGCCCTGAATTAGTCTAAAGTCAGCGTGCACATATCTTCTTAAAATTCCACTTACCCACCCAGACCACTCCTGCCTCTGGGCCTTTGCATTCACTATTCCTGCAGCAAATCATGCCCTTCCCATTTGGCTGCTTCCTGATATTCGGTTGTTTGCTCAGATAAGACCTCGTCTCACCTCCAGTCAAGGAACCCCTTAGTTCATCCGCTAATTTTCTTCCTAACACACCCTTTCTCCTCCCTAAAATGATCTGAGCATGCATTGGTCTGTGTCTCCCCAACAGGCTGCAGCTGGAGGCGCGAGCAGGGACCACACTGTCTCTATTGGTTTCTCAGCACCATGCAGCGTGCCCCAGTAATAAAAGAAATTTGTCTGACTTAGGGAATTTTGAAACTGAACATGTTTCTCCAAAGAAATGGCTGCAGGTGAGAGCAGTGAAGCCGGGGACGGGGAGGGGGCCCGAATCCAAATCTGCAGTCCTGTCCAGATCGCTTTCCTCGAGGCCTCCCGGCAGGGCGTGGAAGCCTTTCAGGGCCGCGACGGAGCCCACCGCAAAGCCTCCCCGCCCCCCTCCTCCCCCCCCCCCCCCACGGCCCCCAGGCGGGCAGGCGGGCGGGGTGAGTGCAGTGGGGCGCACGGGCCACCAGGGGGTGCTATCGGGGCGCGCACGGCCCACCTGGCGCCCGGGGCCGCGGGCGAGCGAGCGCAGCCAGGCCGCCCGGGAACTTTTTTCCTCGCGCTCCGGCTCTCCGGCTCCCCCCGCGCGTGGCTCGCCCGCCCGCCCGCCCGCTCGCTCGCTCGCTCGCTCTTCCTGTGCGGAGCGGATCCCATTTCCCCCGCAGCTCCCGCGGACACCAGGCAGGGCCGGGCCGGGTGGGCGGCCAGGGCTCCGCTCCCCGCGCCGCCCGTTCCCCGCGCCCCGGGCGCCGCCCCCGCCCGCGGCTGGGCTCCGAGAGGCCGCTTGGAGAGCGAGGCGGCGGTCAGGGCGAGAGGCGAGCCGAGCAGGCCGCCCCTGCCCGCGGCCCGAGCGCCGGCGCGAGGAGGGGGCGCCGCGGCCCACCCTCCTTCCTGCCCGGCCGCGGGCCGGCCGGGCCGCCGCGCCCTGACCCCCCAATGGCCACCCGGGCCTCCGGGCCGCGAAGTCGTCGCGCCAGAAGCCGGGCCCCAGAGTGAGCGCGGGGCGCTGAGGTGAGCAGCGGGCGCTGGGGCTCGGGGCTGCCCGGGAACGCCGCCGCGGGGTGGGCACGGCGCGGGGCGGCGAGGTGCGCGGTCGAGGCGAGCTGGGGGGCGAGTGCGCGCGTGGGGCGGAGATGCGGAGCGTGTGGGGTCAGCGCTTTGTGTGGCGCGGGGGGGGGGGGTGCGCGAGGTCACCGATGGCCGTCTGGGGAGCTGCAGGGTGGGGGCGCCCTGCGCCGCGGCCGAGGGTCTTCTGGAAAGCTGGTGTGTGTGGGGTGGGGGTGGGCGAGCGAGTGTCGAGTGCGGCCGTGGGCTCTGCGCGTGTGCCCGGGCGCCGAAGGCTGGCCGAGCGTGGGGTAGGGACGCGGGGGGACCGTCGCGCGGCGCCAGAGGTGGGGGTAAGGGGGGGTGGGGAGCTTTGTGAGCTCGCCCGAGTGGGGGCGGGGAGCCGACTCGTCGGTGCGCGACCCGCGCGTGGGAGCCGGGGCCGGCCGCGAAGGGTCGTGCGTGGCCAAAGATGTGGCGCGGGGCTCTCCGCGATGTCTCGGTCCGGGCCTGTGCGCAGGCCTCCGCGCCTGGGCAGGAAGCGGCCCCACCGCGACCTGGGGAGCTCGATTGCGGGCCGAGGCCCGGGGCACGCGGGCCCGTTGAGGGTGACGTCACGGGCAGGAGCACCGGACACGCGAGCCCAGTGCCCTCCAGACCTCAGCGCGGCAGCCAGGCCCGCGGCCCCCACGGCGGCTTCCTTTGGAGGCTGGAGCCCCCCGCGCCTTTGGAGGCTGGGGACCGGGGAGAGAAGGTCCCAAGTACAGAGGGATTGGAGGGGGGGGGAGGACGAGGGGCTGTGCAGGACGTGGGGGTGACATTTGGAGCTTTGATCGCACCGGGAGGCCTTCAAGGAGGGGCGTAGGGGAAGCGAAACCCTAGCCAGGCCCCAGGTTGCGGCGGCCCCCGGCTTCCTGGGGCGCCTGTGTTCCCAGCGAGCGGTTTCCCCTGCTGAGGTTCTCGGTCCGGCTTCAAACCCACACCCGGAGCTGGAGTGAGGGCCGTGCCCTCCTCTCGGGAGCCCTCGATTGCGACAAGCGGTCGGGCTTCGGCTTCTGGATGCAGAAAACCGAGTGGAACAATGCGCTACCGAGGGGGCTGCGCGACTGCATGGCGGACCGGGGCCGGCGCTTCCCCGCCCGCGCTCCCGCAGCGCCTCCGACGCGGTTGCAAAGAGCTACGAGGACCTAGGCGGGACTCGCGCGGTTCCCTTCCACCCGAAACACACGCACGCACACACACACACACACACACGCACACACACACACGCACACACACACACACCCTTGATTTCTTTTCCAACGCAGTGCTGGCGTGTTGAGAATTCAAGGGCATTACATCTGGTTGCAATCCAGTTTCATGCCGCTGCCTGGCTGTTAAGACCTTGCGCTGACGTCAGAGCAGGGGAATTACTTCTTTTTATTTTATCTTTTTATAGATGTCTGCTGTCCCGGGAAGGGGAGGTGGGAATGGGTCAGGCGAGCATTGATGTCGAGGCGCCAGAGCAATGGGAGCCCAGAGCTGGAGGCTTCTGCTTCTCTTTCCTCTGCCATCCTTCTCCATTTCTCCACACAAATCTTTCTGCTTGGGTCAGGCCATTCCGGGTGGGGGAACAGCTCAATGGAGGCCCCTGACGAATGAACTACACAGCTGTGTTTTCAGAGTCTTCTCCTAAGATGTGGCCCTCGGGACCTGAAAACTGGAGAGTAATCTTCAAATTTCCCACCCCTCCTCCGCCCAGTGTGGGGGGGGAGGGGTGTACGTGAGACACAGGGCAGCCTCACCCCTGAAATCTGGCCAGAACTCTTGTCAGAGGCCCTGGAGAGGAGAGAAGGGTGTATGGGGTGATCTAGGCCTCAGAAAACAGCTAGGTTGTGGGCAAACTGTGGCCTTCCTGGCAGCCAGGCATCCTGTGGCTTTTGCAGAGAAAGTAACTTTACTGCTCCAGAGTCATCTTCATTCCCACTGGACCCTGAGGCCATCACAAGCTGAGCTGGGCCCCTTCTTATTCCCTGTTAGGTTTCTACAACATAGGCCATCACTCAAACTCTTGCCAGTGACCTCCAGTCTAAACTGCATTTTAGGTCACAGTACCATTTACATTCACAAAAACAAAAGCTTAGTGAATAACTCCTCTTTTATGTGTGCTGGTCTGTGACACTTTCTGTTTCAATCTATTTGATTTTTAAAAATATACTGATTGCAATCCACCAGTGATTTTAGTCCACTTCTGGGTCATACTCTGTGTGTGGGGGAAAAAAAGGAAGGGGAGGAGAAGGCCTAGGAAATGGATCTGTTGTATAGTTTATTCAACAAATGGTAACTGAGATCCTAACAATCATCTTTTCTCCTTGCTCAAGTAACCTGTGGATATATTCTTATTAAGAAAAATGCACACAACACACTGTACAAAAGGAAAGTCTCAGCCAGGCCCTGGTAGCTCATGCTTGTAATGGTAGCTACTCAGAAGGCTGAAACCTGAGGATCATGATTCAAAGAGAGCCTGGGCAGGAAGAATCCATGAAACTTACATCCAGTGAACCAACAGAAAACAGGGAGTGGAGCTGTGCTTCAAAGTGGGAGAGGGTTAGCCTTGAGCAAAAGAGCTCAGGGACAGTGCCTAGGCCCTGAGTTCAAGTCCCACAACCAACCAACCAACAAAAAAAAAAAAAGGAAGGCACTCCCTCCCCCTCCAGTATAGATGTCCCCAGTTAAGAGTTTAAAATTATCCTTCCAGAATGCTGTTACTTAATGTATACATGTATCCTGTGTGCAAATACATAGTTTTGCTTTTTCCTCAAATGAAAACATTCCATGGGGCTCTCATTCTTCAACTTCCTTTTTCCTCTCCATTGTCTGGAAGGAGAATGTGGAAAGGCAATTTAGGGCAAGGCTCTGGGTCGACTCCTGACTCTACCCCCCCGTTCTGAAAGTTATTTTCCTTTCTTGGGCTCAGTGCCTCCATCTGTACAATAGGAGAGTCCTGGTGCTAGGCTCCAGGGACTGGAGATGGAATGAGTTAACCCACAGTGCCTCTCCTAAAAGTGGCTTTGGCTGTATTATCTCTTTTCTTTAACCAGGTACCTCTGCTAGTGATGCAGATGGGTCATTTTGTGGCTCCCCCAGGGAAGAGTAAGTACACATGGCTGGGTCTCCCTAGGACAGGCACTTGGATGCCAGACCCCAGGGAGCAGGGGCACATGGACCGTCCAAGGACTGTTTTCAAAGTTCTATGCTCCATGCCAAGGTCCAAACATGACACATCCCTGCACCTGCTCCCTGAAGGTCATAGCCCAGTGATTGGTGATTGAGACCCAGATAATAGCTGAAGCTTTGTTGCGGAACATGGTAGGAGAGTGGATTGGTGCACAGGTGCCCCAGGCACAGCCAGAGAAGAGAGAGAAGGGCGTTTCTGGGAGTAAGAACACACCCAGCCAGCCAGTCTTTGGAGACTGGAAGGGACGTGGCTTGTGTGTTGAGGGCCAAATGGGGAGGACTTGGCTGAGAAAAGATTCTGGCAGGAGAGACTGGCTGGTGGCCAGAGCCTCCTCTTTGGCCTCCCTGCCTCCATCCTGCCCCCTCTGAGGTATGGTTGTAAGGGATCTTTCTAACTACCAGCAGATGCCTGGGGGCTCCTGCTGCCTTGTGAACTGAGGCCCTGCTGTGGTCCCTCTTGGTTCCCAGAGCCCCCTCTGGTCTCTGCCAGCTCTGCCCCTCCACTCCCACCTTTTCTGAGGTATGTGGGGGTGGGGGTGGTGCAGCCATCTGCATAAGGGCTTCTGTGTGTTTGTCTGGACTGTTCCTTCTACCTGGGGTGCCCTTTGGTTGCCTCCTTGCCTCTCAAGACCCAAACATTTGTCCTGCTGCCCGCTGCTGCCTCCTCCTCTTCCCCCTCCTACTCCCCCCCCCCCTCCGACCTCCAAGGCAGAGTGAGTCATTTCCCTTTGTCTGTACCGTGGAATTATCGGCACTTCTGTCAGCGTGTCCTCCCCACGAGGCTGGAGCCTCAGCCTGAAAACAGCTCTTCCTCTCCGACCTAGCGCCAAGGGCGAGGCCTGGAACCCAGGACACCCAGAGATGCTTCCTGGTGGGAGGGCCAGGTGAGGTGGAGAGGGTGAGAAACAAGGCGTTCATTCTGAGACATTTTGTTTGGGGGGGGGGACTTTTGATCCTCGGCAGGGGGCACCATGTCTGTGAAGATTCTTTGCTGTCATGCTGTCACACTGTCACACAAGGGGATGCAAGGGAGGGGGCTGCCCAGCCTTGAGGCCCAGCTCCCAGAGGGGGCTGGGAGAAACTGGCTCATCCTGTTTCTCTGGGGATTGAGGCAAGCTGAGTGGTGCCCCATTCTGGTGGGTCACTGGGGATCCAAGATTGGAATGTGATGCGAGGGAGGGGGGGGAGGCAGGATGGAGGTGGGATGGGAGGGCTGGCCTGCTAGAAGTACAGGCTGGGGCCTGGCTGGCTGGCACAGGCTAGAGTTTGCTCTACTGGTCAGGAACCCGTTTGTATGTGGGGTGTGTGTGTGTGTGTGTGTGTGTGTTAGAGTGGAGGAGACAGGTGAGGGAGGGAGCAGGGGTAGGAGGGAGTAGGGTGGTAAGAAGGGGAGATGGTGATCTTCTTGTAGTCTGGGATGCCTAAGGTCTGGAGAGAAGCAGCCAGGTGCCACCAGGGTTCTGGTGACTATTGGAGTTCTCCATTCTTTTCTTTCTGTGTTTGGTTAGCACTCTTGTTACACTCACCCCTGCCCCAGACTTGAGCAGGTCTATGGTCCTGCTATGGTCCTACTTTCAAGGCCTTGAGGTCCAGGCACTGGTAGACAATGAACAGCCCAGTGTCTGCAGTCAGTCTAGGTCATGAAGAGGCTAGAAGAGTCCCATGAGAGGGGGGAAATGCCAAACCACAGCCTAATATCACGGTGTGGATGTTGTTGATTAGGAGCTGGGGGGGGGGGGGCGGGCGCAGGG